TGTGGGGTGCGCCTGAGCGGGGAAGCCCGCAAACAGGTAATGGGGACCGGGAAGCTAGGAGGGGGCCGGGGAGCCCTCCCGGATAGAGGCGAAGCTGGGTGTTCAGGGGGCCAAGGCCGTGCCGGAGACCTACCCCAACCTCTCTCTTTAGTGCTTTCACTTCTGCCCGGGGATTCCCAGATTCCTGCCCTCTGGCCTGTCCTCTGCACGGAGCATGGACTTCCAAGGAAATCTGGCTGGTGGTGGGAAAGGCCAGAGCCAAGTTGGAGGGCATTTAATTGGGGACGGGATCTTACTGTTGACAATTGAGACCCTTAACCAACATTCGGGTACTGCTCTCTATGCAGGTGGATGTCTTCAGGCAAAATCTTTTCCAGGAGGTAAGTCTTCTGGATTCAAGCTATTTGCCCCAGAATCTTAGATCGATGCTTGAGGATCACAACCTCTCAGAGTGACCCCCAAACCCATCCTAGACCTGGGCCCTACTTCCCTTATCAAGCCTTCACCCAAGATAAGCACCTAATTGATCTGTACCTCTAATTTGATATCTCCTAATATTGTCCCCATTTCTGCCACTTCTTTCTCCTCTTTTGGTGTGGAGGGAGACACTGTGGCCCCGATTAACCTTGGATCTGCCACTTCCCAGTTGGGCAAGTCCCTTCACTTTTCAAGACTTCAGTTTCCTCATTTGTAGGCCTTGGATTCAGTAATTTTCAAGGGCCCTACCAGTCCCACTTCTCAGACAGCTCACTGAGTCTTTTCTGTGATTCCCCACCCTTGCAATATAATCCACAGGCTGAGGAATTCCTCTACAGATTCTTGCCACAGAAGATCATGCACCTGAATCAGCTCTTGCAAGTGAGTAGTGTGGACCCCTTTTGCTCCATCCCATGACCTCTGTCCTCTCCACCCACCCTCTCTAACCAACAGCTGGGCTCAGCATGCAGAGAACAGTTGTGAGTGGTGGACTGGGAACTTTAGGACGGTGTGAGGCCTGAGCCTAGGTTGGGAGGGAGAGGGCAGGTGGGATGTGTGGAGGGAAGGTTGGGCAGCCCCTGACAGTAAGCTTTGTGCAGGAGGACTCCCTCAATGTGGCTGACCTGACCTCTCTCCGAGCCTCACTGGACATCCCTATACCAGACCCCCCACCCAAAGATGATGAGGTGAGGCACTCAGGGTGTGGGGTTTAGACGGTAAACCCAGTGCCGATGATGGCTCTCTAACCTCCATGACTTTTCTGAAGCTACTTTCACCCTTTCTACTTTAGATGGAAACAGATAAGCAGGAGAAGAAAGAAGGTAAGAGAAGAAGGGGTAGCTAGGGAAAGGGAAGTGGCACAATGACTGCTGGATAGAAGGGGCCTAAATCTCCTCTTTTTCACAGTCCCTAAGTGCGGCTTTCTCCCTGGGAATGAGAAGCTCCTGGCCCTGCTTGCCCTGGTTAAGCCAGAAGTCTGGACTCTCAAAGAAAAATGTATTCTGGTAAGCCTGGGAACTGAGAGAAATAGAGAAGACATGCCAGGCCAGGCCCTGGTGTCCTTCAGAAATACAAGTCCTTCATTCAGGAACCTATTCCTGAAATAGGAAACTTCCTTCTGTGACATGGGTTTAGATACCTTTTGTTCTGCTAGACCTCTGATATCACAGTGGTATCCCTGAAATCAAAGACTGTGCTATATTCACCTCCATAACCTCAGAACTCACTGCTATACCTGGTGGATAGTGCAGATGCTATAATATAGTGGGTTGATTTAAGAGATTGGGCCCTAGAGGAAAACTGCCTGGGCTCAAATCATGTCTCTATTACTTGCCTAGCTGGTTATCTTAAGTAAGTCACTTAGATGTTCCTTGGTTCAGTTTTTTCATCTGTTAAGTGGGTATAATAAGAATATGTAACTTGAGCCCTAGACGGTTTGGCTCAGTGAATAGAGCATGGGACTATGGACCAAAGGGTCCTGGATTCGATTCTGGTTAAGGGCCCGTACCTCAGTTGCAGGCTTCTCCCAGGCCTGGGTCCTGGTCAGGGTGCGTGTTGGAGGCAACCAATTGATGTGTTTCTCTCACATCGATATTTCTCTCTGTCTTTCCCTCTCTTCCACTCTCTCTAAAAATCATTGGAGCCCTAACCGGTTTGGCTCAGTGGATAGAGCGTCGGCCTGTGGACTCAAGGGTCCCAGGTTCGATTCCGGTCAAGGGCATGTACCTTGGTTGCGGGCACATACCCAGTAGGGAGTGTGCAGGAGGCAGCTGATCGATGTTTCTCTCTCACCGATGTTTCTCTCTCATCGGTGTTTCTAACTCTCCCTCTCCCTTCCTCTCTGTAAAAAATCAATAAAATATATTTTAAAAAAATCAATGGAAAAATATCCTTGGGTGAGGATTAAAAAAATAATAATAAATAAATAAAGCAGTTTTTTTAAAAGTATATAACTTGAAAGATTAAATGAGATGTATAATACATAACACAGTACTTAGCACATAATAAATGTTCAATTAAAGATAGCTGTTATTATGAAATAGCAGAAATAGGAAGAACCCAGTAAGTTTGTTGAATGATTCCGACATGATACCTCTTCATGTAGGTGATCACGTGGATCCAGCACCTGATCCCCAAGATTGAGGATGGAAATGACTTTGGGGTAGCAATCCAGGTAAGGAAAGGGTATGTGAAGACATTAAGAGCTGGGAGAGACTTGGGGAGTAAGGGATAGGAGCTAGACATACTGGGAGGAGGAAGAAGATGGTGAGTGAAGATGGGAGGAGAAGAAGTGTTTTCTTTACTTCCCATCTCTTTTGTCCCTGCAGGAGAAGGTGCTGGAGAGGGTGAATGCAGTCAAGACCAAAGTAGAAGCCTTCCAGACAACCATTTCCAAGTGAGGGCAGCAAGAAGGCCACCATGGGTGGTGGGGGGTAGGGGAGCGGCTATGGGGACATTTTTTGTGACTCCCAAAGCTAGGCAGTCCCATTGGGATGATGGGGGGCTTTGGGAAGGGTCTGAGGGAATATATCTCTCTGAATGCTTATTCTTGTGGTTACTCCCCTTGCTTCTGGCAGGTACTTCTCAGAACGTGGGGATGCTGTGGCCAAAGCCTCTAAGGAGACCCATGTAGTGAGTAGATTGTCTACTAGCCTTTCAGCTGAGGCTGGCAGGTGGGAGGGTGAGGAAAGGGGGATAGAAGTCTTCTTTGTCTTGTTTATGACCTTCCCAATATGGGGAATATTAAGGTATAAGTATTGCCTAGAAAACTGATTTGCGTTTCAAAAATATTGACCCCTTTTTTTGTTTGGCACGATGGGAATCCCGTTTCTTGTGTAAGGGCTCATCCTCAAGTTACCTATTCCCTGTATGAGGAAACCAGACTATGTCTCAACCTCCTGACTCAGCTTTGCCTTCCACATCCCAGATGGATTACCGGGCCTTGGTGCACGAGCGAGACGAGGCAGCCTATAGGGAGCTCAGGGCCATGGTGCTGGATCTAAGGGCCTTCTATGTGAGTATGGAGTAAGCCCCCAAGGGATTTGGATGAGGGGGAACAGAAGGAGAGCCAAGATCCTGACTGCTGTACTTCTGGCCTTCTTTCAGGCTGAGCTTTATCATATCATTAGCAGCAACCTGGAGAAAATTGTCAACCCAAAGGGTGAAGAGAAGCCATCTATGTACTGACCCCAGGGCTAGAAGGGAAATAAATTACCAATACGTTGTGTGGATTACCTGTGGTGTGTGTCATTCATTCAGAAAGCATTTACTGAGTGCCACCTTTGTCCAGACACTGAATGTGAATGTGGTGGTGGGAAAGGTAGGGGGTTCCAGAAAGACAAAGATGAATTATATGCCCATTCTGTTCTTAAGAAGTCATCCTAAAGAACAGGGTGGAAACTGTTACGTTCCACGAAGGCCATGAAGATAACTTGTATTTGGGATTTTCACAAGATTGTTTCCATCTGGGGGTTTCGTGAATGATTCCTGGAAGAGGTGGCATTTGGGCAGAGCCCTTATAGGAAGAATCAAGGTTTGGACAGACAAGAGGAAAGCTCTTTGGCTGAGGTCAGGGAATGAAGAAGAAAAAGCCTTTCATCCCTTCATGACCTCAGAGCAAGCCTGGAGAAAGAATGAAGTTTCACTGGAAGAATTACAGGTTAATGGTTGAACTTCTCAAAGATGGGAGGAAAAAAAACTCCCAAGGCATTATGCTAAAGCAAGTTACAGCACAGGACATTATGGGAAGGATGGGTCTGTATAGTTTTTTTTGTTTTTTTACCCTCCTTCAGCCAATTGCTGTCTTTGTTTCTGCAGATATTACATCAAGGAAACCAAAGGCCAGATAACCTGTAGTTGGCTCATTATTAAATGCAAGAGCCGGTCTAGAGTACAAACCCACTCATTCGATAGTAGGAGAAAGGTAATTCGCTACAGGCCCAAGTTCAAAGTACCTAACGCGGGCTGAGCGGGCTGAGCCGGCTGACTCTGCGGGCCCTTCGGGGCGGCCGCGCATCCTGCAATCACAGGTCCAAGTCGGCAGCCTAGCCAATCAGCGCGCAGGCAGTTCTCCTTACAGCGGGGGGTCCTTTCCACTCCGCTGGAGACAAAGGTGGGGCAAGTTTGGCTGAGGCCGGTGATTGGACAAAATGAGAACCTCCAAGCCTATCACAGGGCACCATGTAGTCAGCCCCCTAGAAGCTGGTCTGGCTCGGAGCGGGCGGCTCCGGGTCTGCGGCCGCCCCCTGGAGGCGGGCGGGCGCGGGCGGCGCGGGCTCGGCGCTGCAGCATGCTCTCGGGCCGCCTACGACCCGGGCCGGGTTGGAGCCGGGCTCCAGAGCCAAGGCACCTTCGAGCCCAATCAGGGTTACCACCGAACCTAAGCGAGGGGGCCCAGGAAGGCCCAGGGAGGGTGTCGGCCGCTGGAGGAAGCCTCGCAGACGCGAGCCGGCGCCGGGTTCGCCATGGGGGCGGTGGAGATCTCGGCCCGGGCCTACGGGAAGATGTGCCTGCACGCCGCCCGGTACCCGCACGCCGCGGTCAACGGGTTACTGTTGGCGCCGGCGCCGCAGTCGGGAGCGTGCCTGTGCCTCACCGACTGTGTGCCGCTGTTCCACAGCCACCTGGCCCTGTCCGTCATGCTGGAGGTCGCCCTCCACCAGGTGCGGCTGCTGGGCGCGCACCACCCACCGTGAAACCCCCAACTCCCCCAGCCCCAGCCTGTGCCCGGCCTCTAGCAGCGTGAACACCCGCAGGCCGCCGACTGATGGCCCCTTTCCCATGGCAGGTAGATGTGTGGGGCGCGCAGGCCGGCCTGGTCCTGGCTGGGTACTACCACGCCAATGCGGCTGTCGGTGACCAAAGGTGAGTCGGTGGCCGGAGGCGGAAGGCTAAGGGTTAGGGGGCGGGGGTGGGAGTGGTGTCGAGAGAATTCCTCTGGGTCATTCCTTCCATCTTTCCTTTATCAAACGCTCAGGAGCAGGGACTGTACACCAGGCACGAGGTTGGGTACTGGAGCGAGGAAACAAATGTAAAGACGCTCTGGAGGAGCGGCGGTGGGGTGGCAGGATGACTGTGTGTAAGAAAAGGCTGACACTTGTTTTAACCGGGGTGCCCCTCCCCCAACTGCTAAAACAACACAGGAAGCCCAGCAAGCAACTTAAAACCACAAAATGTCTTTTCTATAAGTAGAAAAAATTACTTATATGTTAATGATATATCTGGATCAAAGTATACATAGTTTTGTTATGTACTTTTCCCTCATTTAATAAACAGCTGACATCTTTCCATCTCTACACCAAGGTCTACCTAAGCTAAGGCTATGTAATATGAATAAGGATGTACCATAATTTATTGAATGCCTATACTGAATATTGAGGTTGTTCTGATTTTTTATTATAGTGCCCTACTATTACAGTAATTTCTTTATAAGTGGACTATCTGGGTCAGCATATGTACAGCATACAGTCTAAATGTGGATGGTTATGCCAACTTACCCCCCCAAGGCCACCTTTGATTTCCACTCTCACCAGCAGTGTCTGAGCACCTGTTTCCCACAGCACTCAAGCATCAAGCAGTCCTGCATGAAGCATCAAGCAGACCTGAACCCCCCAGGTTAACTACAGGGAAAGGCACTCACTGCATCCATGTCCGTGAGATCTGGAAAGCACAGCTCAGATGGACAGGGTCTCCAGTCGGCTCCTCACTCCTCTGATCTTCCCTCTACACAGCCCTGGGCCCCTAGCCTTGAAAATCGCTGGGCGGATTGCAGAATTCTTCCCTGATGCAGTACTTATTATGGTGAGGCTTGGGTTTGGAGAAGGGGGGTGGAAAGAAAGTAGGAAGGCGGATCCTTGAAGCTCTCACCTGCCCTTCCTTATCTACGCAGTTGGATAATCAGAAACTGGTGTCTCAGCCTCATGTGCCCCCAGTCATCGTTCTGGAGAACCATGGTCTCCGCTGGGTCCCCAAGGACAAGAACTTGTGAGTGCCCCACTCCCTTTACTTCCTGGAAATCCAGTGCCGGGGCCTCTGTCCTTGGTCCTGTTCCAAGGGTCATTCTCTAGACCAGTGGTTGCCAACCGGTGGTCCTTGAGGTCCGAAAGGTTGGTGACCGCTGCTCTAGACCTAACCTCTGTTATGTCTGGCCCCACTGCCTGCTGAGTTTGACCTCCATGAGGGTTATTATTTCAGAGTGATGTGGAGGGACTGGGAGGAGTCACGACAGATGGTGGGAGCACTACTGGAGAGCCGGGCCCAGCAGCACCTTGTGGACTTTGACTGCCACCTTGATGACATCCGGCAGGACTGGACCAACCAGCAGCTCAACACCAAAATCACTCAGTGGGTTGGTCCCACCAATGGAAATGCCTGAGCCAGGGCCATGGGGTGTGTGTGTGTCAGGATCCAATAAAGAGACTTGAGCTGGTGGATACCATTATGACTATATTTATTGTGCCTAAGAGGCAAGTGAGGGAGAAACCTCAAGTGGCAGGAGGTGGCACAGTCTGAAGTTCCCTGTCAAAGACAGGAAGGTCTCTGCTGGACGCACTACAGTATAAGAGGAAGCTCTCAATAGATCATTCCCTTTGTTTCTCCCCTGGGCTTCTTGAGCTTCTCAAAGTTCTTCAGGATGATATCATATAACACAGCCTATAGGACCAGGGAGGAGTGGGGATCAGCCATAAGTTCCCAGTGGCTCTGTGCCTCATTTCTAACCTTGTAGAGACACAGAGCTTTGTCACCCTTCACCCCCAGTTTGCAGAGTCAGGGGATGGGTGGCCTGGGAAAGCTGCCCCTCCCCACCCCTGCCCCACCCTCTCCTCCTCACATAAGCGTTTCGGATCTCCATGACCATTAGCCGGATGTCCCGGTACTCAGCTTCATCCAGCTCATGCACCAGTTGCCTGTAATCACCCTGTGGGAGACCTGGGTCAGGGCTGACTTCAAATGCGTCCTCCCCTTCATACACCCCACCTGGGTCTCACCTACCACATGGGGCTGCTTGGCTGCTTTGGCCACGGCGTCTCCCCGTTCAGAGAAATACCTGTGGGAAATAGAAGGGTGTGGAGTGGGAGAAGGAGAGACCAAGCCTCTATCCAAGCCAAAGGCAGAGAGTGTAATGGGTGTAATTGGGCAGACACTCACTTGGCGATTTGAGTGTGGAATCCCTCCAGCTTGGTGTGAAGGGCGGTCATCAGCTCAAACACTTTCTCCTGGGGAAAGAATTCAAGGAGGAAAGTGGAAAACAGCATGGACTAGAGAGGTAAGGAGGGCAGAGGAATGAGGCAGTGCTCTAACCTGGACAGCCACTCCAAAATTGTTTCCATCCTCAATCCGAGGTATCTGCAGCTGCAACCAGGTGGTGACCTGGGAGGAGGGAATAGCATCAAAGCCACATCAACCCCTCAACCCAATTCCCAAGTTCCTGTCCTTCCTTGCTTCCTGCCATACCTCCACCTGGGTGGAGGTATCCCAAGGCCATCCTGAGCCCCAGGGCCTAAACTTCTGACTTTGTGGCTATGCCTTCTCCTGCTAAGACCTGGCAGGTGCCATGCCCTAAATGGCAGGGGCCAAGGAAGACAAGGGCTTGACCTAAGGCCTAGAGGTGGAAGTGAAGTAGGAGGGCTCACCAGGTTAAGCTGCTCAATGACATCCTTGATCTCAGGCTTTAGGCGCTGCAGGAGGGTCAGGATCTTCTCGTTGCAGTTCACTGGGCCACAGGGAGGACCTAGAGAGTGGGCAATAGGTCAGTCACACGGCTGGGACTGAGTGAGGGGTGGGGAAGTGGAATCCTTTAGGAGGAGCTCCTGGGAGATAAGACTCAAGACCCCACCATAGTGGTACCTTTGTCTTCATCGTCTTTCTTCTTTTCATCCTTGTCTTCCTTCTGCAGGGAAAGAATGGCTCTTGGGAGTCAGGTGTAAGGCTACTTCCCCCCATCGCTGGGTCCCTCCTCCCAGCTCTTCCTGGCTTGCCTCCTGCTGTTTCTTCCGCTCTTCCTTCTCTTTCTCCTTCACTGGGTCAGGCACTGGAATGTCCAATGGGGCCTTCAGATTGCTCAGGTTGGCTTCATTGAGAGCCGGCTCCTGGCACAGGGTAGGAGGGAGGCTGGAGGCAAGGGCATCCTCGTGGCCTCTAGAGTCTCCCCCTTGGCCCCTACTCTTTATAAAGCTCCCTGCTCAGCCCCAGTACCTTTAAAAATGCATCCAACTCAGAAATCTTCTTGGGGAAATAGCTCCCAAGCAGGTTCTCTGTCTGTGAATGAGGTGGAGGTGGGAGAAGTTGGGGGGGGGGGGGCGGGGTCAGAATCAAATGTCCTTCCTAGGCAGTAAGGAAGGGCTAAGCAGTGGGAATTGAGTAGGGATGGGGTGCTGATGGGGCAGGTCTTACCTTGGTACACAGGTCTTCACGGAACACATCTACCTGTGGGACACAGGCAGCCTTTCAGACTCCTGGCTTTATGGCCAGTTCATCTGAGTACTGTTCCCTTGGGGTTGTGTAGGGCCTGGCCTGGGGAAGGGTGGAGTGGGTCCCCTTGGGGCTGGGTTTTGGGGATGAGAACCTTCCTGGCGGAGGGCGAGTGGTTCAAGTGAGAACAGATCCCTCGGGGCTCCTGGGCTGCGTAAGGAGAGGGGTGAGAGCCTGCTGCGCCCGGGGCAGGGGCGCAGTGCCCTGTGTGGTGGGCCCCGGGCCCTCCCCTGGAAAAGGGGCCCCGCACCACGCCTGTGTGTGGGCCCGGCGCCGGGCCAGCGGACTTCCCCTCCACGCTAGCTCTCCGCTTCGCCTCGCCCCGCTGCACCTCGGCTGCCTCCCCTCTCCCGGCGGCCGAGCGCCGCGGGACTGCTCGGGGCTCAGGTGCTCCGGGCTTGGAGGTCACTAGGGCTCGAAGACTGACCCCCAGTGTCGGGGAGCGGGGGCCGGATCACCTACGCCCTCAGCCTTTCGGCGCCACGCCTCCCTGATGGGTCCTTCCTCGGGCCCGCAGCGCTCACCTTGGCTTGGGCTTCAGGCTGGACCCTGAGCGTGGCCATGGCCGGGGCGGGCGGGGGTCCTAGCGCCGCACGAGGAGCGAGGACTGGGCTCGGGGAAGGGAAAGCGAAAGCAGCGCGCGCAGCCGGCCGGCCTTCCTGAGTAGCGGGGAGTGGAGGCGCTGGAGGAGGCGGGGACAGGCCCACGAGGGGGGCCGGGTCGGGTGGGGTGGGGAGGGTGAGGCGTGCGGAGCCAGGCGGCTCAGGCCGGGCTCCCCCTAGAGCCCGAGGGGAGCGTTTCCACTGATCTCCTCCGCCCGCCCCCCATCCGCCTCCCTGCTCTCGACGCCCCGCCTCCTCCCTCCCCCTCCTCCCTCCCCGGTCTCCTTTCCACGCCTGTGCTCTCCGTGCTCTGATTCTCCCCTCCCGGCCTCACCAGGCGTGCACTCCGCTACCCGGCCAGTGCCCGCCTTTGGACTCCCGCACCCCGCCTCCCGACTTCCCACTGGCTCTCTTCTTCATCTGCGGGCCCTGGGACAGGGATAAGCCTTATCCGGTGCTCTACCATCTTTCCTCAGCTGTGGAACAAACCTGGCTTCCCCCCCAGCCCTGCCAGCCTGGGTCCCTGACTCCCAGCATCCTCTGGCCAATGCAGTGCCATTCAGACCCCAACCCAAACTCCAGTCAGCTCTCTCCTGACCCTTGTTGTGGCCTCCATTCCTCCATAACCGGCTCTCCACACAGCTTTTGGAGACTCTATATATATACTGATTTCAGAGAGGAAGGGAGAGAGAGAGAAACATCAATGATGAGAATCACCCATCGCCTGCAACCCAGGTATGTGCCCTTGACTGGCACTGAACCCAGAATCCTTCAATCTGCAGGGCCACGCTCTATCCACTGAGCCAAACCAGAGAGGGTGCCAAGTCCCTTACAAAGCATCCTGTTTAAGTACCTTCATAGCACTTATCTCTGATATCTGTCAGTTTATTTTTTGAGGCTAGTGTGGTTTAGACCAGGGTTTGGCAAACAAACCTTTTCTGTAAAAGGCCAGGTAGTAAATATTGTAGGCTTTTTGGGCCATATAGTGTCTATCACAACGACAGTGCTCAACTCTGCCATTGTAGCAGGCAAGTAGCTATACCTAAATGAATTAGTGTGGCTAGGTTCTAATACAACTTTATTTATGGACACTGGAATTTGAATTTCACATAATTTTCACACATCATGAAATATTCTTTTAATTTTTTTTCAACCATTAAAAAAATGTTAAGAACCTTTCTTAGCAATCAGGCAATACAAAAACTGGCCACAGGAGGGCTGTAATTTGCTTATCCCTGGTTTAGAGACAGATAACAGACCCATAGTGCCTGGGTTTATAATCCTGATTCTCATGTTTATTAGCTGTGAACAAGTTACTTACCCTGTGCCTCAGTTTTCCCAACTGTACAATGGACATACTACCTACTTCACAGTGTTGTTGCTGTGAGGGCTAAATGTGTTAATTTATATGAAGAACTTACACTTAGAATGGTGCCTAGCACAGAGTAAGCACAATGCAAGTGTTAGCTATTGTTATTTGGGAGTTTATCGTCTGCCTTCCCCAGTAACCAACCCACTGGCCCCCAAGCAGCAAAAAACCTAGTCTTTCTTATTCACATGGCATGGAACTATGCTTGGTTCAATAAACATGTTAAATAAATGAGTACACATGGACCCCTATCAGGAAGACAGGGTAGAAAGGGTCTCTAGACAGGCAGGCCCTGCGGAAAGCAGGGGTAGGATTCAGTGGGAGAGACAGGAAAAATAAATCAACCAGGCTGGAGGTGGGGCACCTGCTCAGCAGGAATGCTGCCCATACCTACGGGCACCGTTACCTGCCCTAGCAGTGCCACTCCTTGACATCAGAGCCACAAATAGCTCAAAGTCTGTAAGGACTAGGAGAATAAAAGGACAGCAGGAGAAATGGCCATCAAGCATAAGGGAAGACATTCAAAGTTGGTAACAGCAAGGAATGGCTGAGGAACCTCAGTGACCACCAGCCTCTTATTTATTTATTTATTTCAAATATTTATTTGATTTTCCAGCCTCTCTTTTTGCCCTTCCCACCCTTTCCAGGTCCCCCCAACCAAATGATGAGAGGGGCCAGAGCCAGGCCTGACGTGCCTTGATTTCTTTCAGTTACGCTTGCGGCTGGAGTGGGGGCGAGGGAAGAGCCCATGACCAGGGCTCCCTGGAGACCAGGGCTGATGATACCAGCTGCCGTAGGTGAGGTACCAGGCAAAGGTGCCCACTGCGGCGCCCACCACCTTGTGAGTATACTGGTGGAAATAGATGACAGTACAGAGCAGCAAGAAGTTCCAGAGGCCCAGTAACAGCACGTTGAGCAGGAAGACGAGGCGCAGGGGCGCACCAGCGGGCAGCCCGTGGGCCAGGTACTTGGCAAACACTGCCGCTTCCTCAG